TTCTGCTTTGTAAAATTATAAAAGATGTTCAGTTTTATACCATGCATAAATGATTGTGTGTTATTTATATAAGCAGAAACAAGTATATTTAGTGCTCTACTTAAAAACCCAAGGCCAAGGCTCAGAAGAGAGTTTCTTTTACTTTAAGATCAAAAGAGGCTTCATCCAACAGATACTAACAGTATGCCTTAAGTAAATCACTTTTGAGATACTTAAGAGATTAAATACGTGAGTGAGAGATGAGAGAAGAGAGAGGGTCAGTCTCGTGAGAAACAAATGCCTCCCATCTCAGCAGATAGAGAGAAAGGTGTCCCCTAGAATGGGCTCCCTGACACTGAGGTCCCAGAGCATACACAGGGACACCCCGACACTATAGGTTGTTCATGAACCGGTCTCCCATCCTGATGCCAGGATTTTCTTCCTGTGTCTAGCTTCTCGTTGGCTCAGCATGTACATTGTTCTGTTCAAACAACTGCCTCTTGGTCCATGTAAAGATTCTGTGTGGGCACAATGAAGGGTTCTGGGATTCCCATTCTTCTCAATGCTACCCATAGTTTGTTATGACCCACATAGTTGAATGCCTTAGCTCAGTCAAGAAAACACAAGTAAGCATCTTTTTGGTGTTCTCTGCTTTCAGCCAAGAGCCAAAGACATTAGCAATGACATCCCTTGTTCCACAAACAAGTCTATACGATTACATAAATGAAACCATAAAATGCCGACTTTGACATTGGTTTCTGGTTCTGGTGAGATGGTATTTCAGCACTACAAGTGTTTCTTGCTATCTCCTGTGTTCTGTTGACTGTCCAGGTAGGCTCCAGTGTCACCAGTCTGTAGCACAGACCCTCCGCGTCTGACTTCTGTGAAAAGGCAGGTGTTGGCAGTGACGTACAATCTTCTTCCCTTTTCTCTAGCACTGATGTGTTCTCTCTATGTTGTATCGGCAAGAGCCAGTCGTGGCAATCTGGCCATCCCTACCCATGGGTGGGTGAGTAGATCAAAGGTTGCGTGCAAATGCAGGTAGATACTTGCTTTTCAGCTAACACTGGCAACTTTGCAGACAACACAATGCGACTTTGTCCAATCCTGTGCCCAGACCTCCTTCCTCTGTGCTGAATTTGGAATCGCTGCTGACATTTCTCTCTCAGAAGTGACCCTGCTTGTCTTTTGACCTGTGTTCCAGAATGACAGTTACAGATAAGCCACCCAGTCTGTCCAAGTGACAGATGTGACATTGTGGAATCACTGCCAACGACTCCATTCCAACGCATAGTGACCCAATATAGGGTTTCTGAGACTATACACCTTGACAGGATCAGATAGACTCATCTTTCCCATGAAGTGGCTGATGGTTTTAAAACTCTTCCTTGTGGTTAGCAGCTCAATGCCTAATCCACAGTTACCCCAGAGCTCTTTGAACCCACTGGGAGGTAACTGTAATTCTTCCTAATTTCAAAGACTTGGAGAAGATGCTTAGCTTGTAACGGTTAAAATATTTTCATGAATGTTTTCATGGGATGTTGCAGGATGCTAAACTAGGCCCAGATGTCTAGCAACAGTGGCAATCCAAGAGTTCTTCTCCCTTTCTCTCCATAAAGTTTTCTCAGTCCATGTTTTCTGCTTTACACGTTGAAGGACAAAAGTAAGCTATGTTCCGTTCAGCCGTAAAATTCAAGGTCAGAGAGGGTTTATCACGGGTATTTCAGTTTCTTTAGTTTCTTCCAAAAATTCTGAAGATCGTTCTGCTACCTTTCTTCCTCCTAAAGCCTGGGACATGAGGGCCTGGAAGGGAGAAGGAGGTCAGTCATCACTGACTGACTTTACATCCTTAAATGCAAAGTGACGTCTTTGGCCTGGATACCCCCCCAGTATGGCTTCTAGTTCTCCCATGGTACCCTCGTCAGGGATACACCTGTAATTATTCTCGGCAATGCCCTTCCCTTTGACTCATCCTCTCGTTTTGTTCTGAGCACCTCGCCTCCAAGATCAAAGAGTCAGTTTGCTTTATTAATTTTGTGGGCTGCTTTGTTTTTTGTTCTTTATTTTACGATTGCAAGAGGGTCTTTTACTTATCTTTGAGGTTTTTTAAAGTCATTTTATTGAGAGCTCTTACAATGCCTATTACAATCCAACATCAATTGTTTCAGGAAGATTTGTACACATGTTGCTCTCATTCTTTTCTAGACAGTTACTTTCTATTGAGCCCTCAACATCAGCTCCTCTTCTCCCCCCCTACCCCCAAACCTCATGACCCCTTTGATAGATTATAAATTTCTGTTTTGTTAGCTACCAGTTTTCATCATAAAGAATGTGATTCCATCTCATAGCATTATGAAAGAAGAGTTATGTACTGATTGAAGAAGATGTCAGACTGTGCCACACAGTCTACTTTAGACTGTGTCCCCTTCAAAAGTTTGCAATGAAAATTCACCTATTTAATGACTGGGAATTTCTGCAATAAGGAAGCTTGTATAATTTTGTTTAACTCTTGATTTCTCAAGTACACTTGATCTTGCCATCTTACTATTTCTGGTAACATCACTCACATTCCTCAGGTGTCCCCAATATGCACGGGAGAGACAGGTCTGGAAGGTTGTACTCAGTTTGCACCCATGTCTGTTTTTCACTAACTGTGGTTGCAGCCTAAATCTGTAATTCCCGTACCACTTGTTCTTCATATATAAAGTGGAGATGAGTCCTTATTCCCAGTTTATGGTGGATGCCAAGTAATATTGAGTAACTATGATAAACTAATATCAGTCTAACTTTCTTGTTATATAAAGTTATTGTTTAAACTTTAATTCCATCAATTACTAGCTGTGAACCTCTAGCAGCATTGTTTTAACTTCTGTACCTAAAATCCTCATCTGAAGAATGGGCTTAACATAGTACCAATCTCATACTGCATTGAAATAATTCATTGGGATTTACAAAAACAATTCAGAATAATGCTGCTCGGTACATGGTCTAAACCAAATGAAATGCCCTGCCATCGAGTTAATTTTGACTCATGGTGACCCCCTAGGGCAGGGTGGAACTGCCCCTGTGGGTTTCTGAGACCGTAACTCTCTACAGGAGTAGAAAACCTCATTTTTCCCCATGGGGCAGTTGGTGGCTTTGAACTACTGACGTGGTAGTTAGTATCCCGACATATAACTACTCAAATGTCATTTGCCACTCTTTACTCTGTTCACGGGATATATTAATATAGTGTTAGCCTGAAGTAGAGGAAGTGCTGATGGGCTTTATTAAGTAGTTTCTGTGGTACTAAATGTTTAGGTCAAGTTATACTCCACAAGGTGTCCTTTGATTCAAAAGTATATTTGAACATTGAAAATTACATGAATTTGGAATTTCCCCCAAGTATCACTTCACCTATATTAGGAACTAAATAGCGAGCAGTTCCAATGTGTTATCTTAAAGAGGGGCCCAAAATAGAAGTTACTGTACAATAAATAAGGAACCCTGATGGCATAGAGTGTGTTATGTGTTTGACTGCTAACCACAAAGTCAGCTGTTCGAGCCCCCTGGCTGCTCTGCAAGGGAAAGATGAGGCTTTCTGCTCCCAGTAAGATATGCAGCCTCAGAAACCCACACGGAGAGGTTCCTCTTTGTCCTACAGGGTCCATGGGAGTCCTAATCACCTGACTGGTAGTGAGTTTGGTACAATAAGTAGACATTCAAATGTCCTCAAGCCGGAAATGGGCCTATCAGAGTTAAAATTCCTTGATTAAAATAAAAATGGCCCAGTCTTGTTACAGGATGGCACAACGTCTCCCACTGTGCACAGAAACTTTTAAAAGAAGAGTTGGAACTTTTCTTATAAACAAGCTTGGAGACGACCTCACCTTGTAAACATGAATTATCCGTTGACTTCTGTATATTCAGAGATGTTCTGAAGAGTTTCCTGCATGATTTGAAGGAGAAAAATGGAGAGCTTCAAAATATTTATGAAAATTGCTATACACTCTTACCTTTTCCTCCCATCTCATTACTAACCAGGCCCAAGCGTGCTTAGCATCTGAGCTCAGACAACATCGATTGCTTTCGGGGAGGTATGGCCTTTAGACAGAAGGTTCATTTTTGGCACTGTGAATCACCGTCATGCCTCCCATCTGTGTGCCTTTTCCATTTTCTTTTTTATTTTTCCTTCTTATCGAGCTGTGCTCTCATTCTGCAGCATCAGCTTGTCATCTCGGCGGGTACTGCCTAGCCTCCTGTGCCACACGGAATCCTGTGCCACACGGAATCCTGTGCCACACGGAATCCTGTGCCACACAGAATCCAATCCTCAGCTGCTTAAGCCACTCTAGCTCAAAGTGATCCTATAGGGCAAAGAAGAGCTGTCTGCCCCTTTGGATTTACAAACTTTTAAATCTTTTAACGGCTGCAGAGTGAGTGGTGGGTTCGAACCACTGACTTTATGGTTCACATCTCAGCGTTTAACTTGCCACCCTGGGATCATATCCAGTTTGCCTTTTCCTAAATTCTTTTTTTAAATACTTCTCACATTTTTTTGTCTTAACCTGTAATGTGTGGATCTGAATTTTTCTCCTATTTAAAGCTAGGATGATTAGTGAATAAAACAGTATAACTTAATAGCTGAACCTAGAGTGGAACACCATATCTAAGAAGCTAGAGCTGATGTGGTCTGTCCAATGCAGTGTTCTGAGTCAGCGCCTCAAATTACCCCAGGAGTGGGCCTAAAAATCACGACACCAGGAAAACCATTGTTGGTGGAGCCGTGGTACTCAGCCCAATCATTGATGCTCACGGTTACTTCTGTGATTCAATCCTGTGAAAGGAATGCTTTCTTTTCATTCCCCAAAGCAGCTCCCCTGGCCCCCCACAGCACCTGAAATCCAGCACATCCTTTAAATGTTGCCACTCCCCTGCGACTAACATATGGTGTTGCCCTGTTGACTTTGCTCTTAACTGCACCCAGAAGCTGGGCTCCTGTGCTTCCCCGCGCTCACTTAATGTCTTCCATTTGTGAACAGGGGCGGAGAGGCCTCGGCTCCGTTTTTGTGTGGGCCTCCGGAAACGGCGGGAGGAGCAAGGACCACTGCTCCTGCGATGGCTACACCAACAGCATCTACACCATCTCCATCAGCAGCACTGCGGAGAGCGGGAAGAAGCCATGGTACTTGGAGGAGTGCTCTTCCACCCTAGCCACAACCTACAGCAGTGGAGAGTCCTACGATAAGAAAATAGTACGTGCCAATCCCCTCCCTGACACCACCTACTTCTTTAGCCGTAATTTTGAGATGCCATGTAAGAATGATCATGTGACCCATAATGCATGGAAATTACCCCGCACACCTCGTTGGAATATTGAATCCATTTCTGTAATCAGTTCATACTAAAATGCTTGCCCAGGTCATTGCATTCCAACGTTCAATGTTGCCGTGGACATGATTAAGCTGTTTGATTGAAGACAAATGATTATAATCAGATGGGTTTCTAAAGCCTACCTCTGACTTGCCCTACGCAGTCCTCAGTCCTCTGGGTTCTGAATACAGCTTCCGAAGAACAGAAGAACAGAAAAACAGGTGTTGTGTAGATAATCCCACCACTGTCCACTCGTCATTTCTGACTCATCGCCAGCGTATAGGACAGAGTAGAACTGCCCCACATGGCGGTACTGTTGGGTAAGCCTTGCACTGCGACAGAACGGGGTCAATGGTTCAAATCTACCAGCTGCTCTATGGGAGAAATAGGATGCTCTTCTCCTCCCCTAAAGACTTACAGCCTCAGAAACTCTATAAAAGGACCTTTTCTGTCAGAATCAACTCTTTGGCATTGAGTTTGGAAACTTCTTGGAAATGGACGTCCACAGCTTTCTCCTGCAGAGCAGGGAGTGGGTTCAAATGACTGATTTTTTGGTTACAAAACAAAAACAGGCTAACTCACTGCCATGTAGTCGATTCTGACACACAGCAGCCCTTATAGGACTGTGAGATTCTTTACAGGAGCAAAAAGCCCCCTTTTTCTCCCATGGAGCGTTGGTAGGTCTCAACTGCTAGCATAGTGGTGAGCAGCCCAACAGCTAACCCACTGCGAGAGCAGGGCTCCTTCTGGGAAGCTCCAATTATTCTAGTTAGACTGCTCAAGCCACTCATCAATCCTGTGCAGACCAGTGCCTTTCTAATACAGCAGCGCCAAGGTGGTAGAATCAGAGGCAGACGTTTGACCCATCTCTGACCTATACGCCCTCTTTCTAGACAAACATCAAGAGGCTTCTCAGCTCAGATTGCAGAAATGAGCCTGTGAGATTTCTCTCTGTGTGGGCTCTGCTGACCCAGGAGCACTGGGCAGCTTGCTTTTTATCTGTGTTCCGACATGGAAAATGGAGACGTTTAGTCACAGGTAACTCAGGGAGTTATTACAGAGATCACCAGGAAATCTGTTACAAGTGCACACAGGTCCCGGCACAGTCTTGCATTCGGGCGACCCTGCACTGTGCTGCCGACACAAGACCTGCCTTTCTCAGGTGAGCTCAGCTTGTCCGGACATCCTTTAGCGTTGGGCACAGACCCTGGGTTTAGGTACTGCAGGTTTCTATCGACTTGGTTCACTCTGCTGGCACATCTGACCCCTCTTTGGTGGTAGAAATTCAGGACACCAGACACTACTTGCGTCATACAGTCCTGATCCACATCCATTCTATTCCGTTCTTGACTCCTGAGTTTTATACAATTCTTGTTTGATTTTTCAGCCTCTATGATCACCTTTAATTACACTTTAAAGACTGACTTCAAGTGAAAGCTACCTGCTCATGTGAATGTCCCTTCCTCTTCCTCCTTTCCTTAATCTCTCCACAATAACTGGGTATATTCATTATTTATACACACACACACACACACACATGCACAAGTACCAGCCTGTATATACCCTCTATCATTTATCATTAAGCATATTTTTATATGAAGTAGAGTCCAAAAAGCAATAAATACAATGATCAGCAAGTTTTGCAATTTTATGACTCTCGGAGAGGAAATGATGCTCTTGTGATCCTTTATCCTCATTATGGGACTGTTATAACCTAGGGATGTCCCCATGGCTTTTTGGAAGACCTTGTCTCCCTAGGGCTGGTTCCTGGTTAATGCCCTCTAATCCTGCGTGGCTCTTGACAGTTCTACATCAGGGAATTCCTGTTGAAAACTCTGGCATAAGATCACTCCTCTTTACATCTCTGGAGTCTGGATCTTATAAGACATCTGAAGGCAAACGTGCATTGCTTCAAAGTCATCTTGCCTTTTGAGTCCTGTTATTTCCTATGGACCGATTGCTACAGAGAGGCCATGTGCTTTTCCCAGGAAGGGCAGATCCAGCTAGGTGGGGGAAGCCAGGACTGAAGGAAGAGCCAGAAGGGACACAGGGCAGAATCTATCTCCCACCAAACAGCCCCATCTGCTCATCAGTGTCCATTGATCAACTCCAACCCAAGGTGACTCCAGCCTTGGCAGTGTAGAGCTGTGCTCCGTAGGGTTAACAGTGGCTGCTTGTTTAAAAGCAGATCCCCACACCTTTCTCGAAGGCATCTATGGTGGCCTGAAACCACCAAACAGCCACACGTGCTAACCATTTACACCACCCTGAACGCCGAACAACTGTGACAGAGTGGACAGTTAGGGTTATCAATCAATCGAACAAACCAATTGATCCATTCTGTAGTAGGCTATAGGGCATCACAGCTCAATGTTAATGTTGTTTGTCCAGACAGGATAGAACTGCCCCGATTAGTTTCCAAGGCTGTAATTCTTTTTAACTCTTTACATGAGTATTGAAAAACTCGTCTTTTTCCCAAATAGCTGCTGGTGATTTTGAACTGCTAACTTTGTGGATGGCAGCCAGACTCACAACCACTGCACCCCCAGAGCTAGTGCCAGGTGATTACAGTAACACCTGTGAGAGGACGCTCAACAGAACTACCTTGTTTCCCTGGGTCTTGTGAGTTTTCTATCTTTGGCACGGTACCTGGTCTATGTGAGCATCTCAGCCTGGCATGGGTCCCATTGTGTAGCTGAGCCAGTATCTGCACTGGCTCATCGTCTGCACTGGCTCAGAGGAGGTTAGGCTGATTGATTTGCCATTGTGCTGCGCCTCCCTTTTCCAGTCTATACAGTACCACAATCGGTTCCCCCCACTCATGCAGAGCAGCACCTTGAGCGTGAACATGCTCACAATCTGAACATGAGTAGGCGTGGCAACAGCATCAGCCTTGCATGGGCCAGCCGACCCCTTTGCTTTTAGACGTCAGCATGACAAATAAGCCTGCGTTGCTCAGGGATTTTTCTTCACCGGGCTTTGAACCCAGACGCCTGTGTCCCTTGCCGATGCCCACCTCCCGGTCCTGGCATCCGGGATGGAGTGCTATGGGAACCGTCCTGTGACTCTGGGTGCCCGTGCCCTCTTCCGTGGGCCATTCATTTCCTCCTGTCACTTGCGGCTTCTCAGCCGAGACCAGTTGTCATTCTCCATCCACAGAGTGCCTGTGGTGTAAGGCGAGGCAGGTACGGTGGATTTAGGGCGAGAGGAAACATCTTTGTGCTTCTGGGAAAGCACTTTTTAAAAAAATAATTAAATCATTTTATTGGGGGCTTGTACAACTCTTAACACAATCGATACATACTTCCATTGTGTCAAGCACTTTTGTACATTTGTTTCCCTCATCATTCTCAAAGCATTTGCTTTCTACTTGAGCCCTTGGTATCAGCCCCACATTTTCCCCCTCCCTCTCCCACCCCCCTCCCCCATAAACCCTTGATAATTTATAAATCACAAATATTTTGTCATATCTTACACCACCCGATGTCTCCCTTCACCCACTTCTCCGCTGTCCATCCCCCAGGGAGAAGGTTATATGTAGATCCTTGTAATCGGTTCCCCGTTTCTCAAATAAATGTTCCCTGCCCTGGACATAATACTATTTCCTGTTGTGCAGCAGGAAAACCCTGTCTGAGCTTCAGATAAATCCATGCCCCCATCCCAAGCCTCCCTCGACATCCACAATTGTGGAGCTGAATATTATATTTAATCTTTAGTAAATGTGAACCCTTGTGGCCTTAAAACTTATTACAGCAACTAAAACACACAGAATATCAAAATGACTACAATTAGAAACCCTTCCATAAATTAAATAAAAGCAATTAATTAACCATTTGATCATTATAAAGGTATATGAAAGAAAAATTGCTTTTAGATGCACTTTTATGCATCTCCTGTTTCCCATGTGATCTACATATGGTTATTATTAACATACTACATATATATACATATATGCATACACACACATAAGTAGCCCTTCCAATAAAGCAGCCCTGGTGGCACTCTCTGATAAGCGTTGAGCTGCCATCTGTGAGATTGGCGTCTCAAACCCACCTGCCACTCCTTAGGAGGAAAATGCCCGTCTGCCCTTCTCCGCTTTCAAAGACCTACGCTCTCACTAACTAGAGAATGGAGAATTCTCTACCTAAATATCTCCTTTCTATTAAATTCTTGCTGATTATATCACCTGCAATCCCAGAGAACCTTTGTTCCAGCAAATTCCAACATTTACTTCTCCTGGCTCATTTCCCTCATTAAGCATTGAGATGCTAATCACAAAGGCAGTGGTTCAAAGCCACTGTAGGTTCTATGGGAGAAAGATGAGGCTGTCTCCTCTGGTTAAGATTTATCCTCTCAGAAATCCATCGGGACACTTCTGCTCTGCCTTACAGGGTGGGCTCTGGCTTGGGACTGACTGGAGGGCAGTGAGTCTTTCTCACTCCATTCAGCGTCTTGCTGTGCTGTCTTTAAGGGTCACTGTTGGGCCAAATCGCACTTCATTTATGTCTTCCCAGATTGCATTTCAGAGGGGATTTCCTTAACCACCATCCCTACAATAACAACACTCCCTCCACCACTCTCTGCCCCCATATTGCTTCTGTGTACTTGTAACAACACGCCATTAACAATTTTCTTATTTATTGTCTGACTTCCACCCTAGAAGGGAACATTCTGAGGATAAAGACCTCGTTTTGTTCCTTCCCAGGGTTTGGGCTTAATAAATAAATAAGTAAATATGTGTGTGAAAATGATGGCCATGCGTTCGTAGGATAAAGGTTTCACACTGTCTCCTTAGACCCCTGGAGATGACCCAGTGGTTCTTTTCCTTTAAAAGAAGCTCCTTCTCCTGATGGGCTAGTGAAAGGGAGGCGTGTTTGTCGGG